ATATAATATAATATAATATAATATAATATAATATAATATAATATAATGTAATATAATATAATATAATGTCATGTAATATAATATAATAAAATATAATAAAATATATTACAATAAAATATAATATAATATAATATAATTTAATGTAATATAATATGATATAATATGATATAATATATTACAATAAAATAAAATATAATATAATATAATATATAGAATAAAGAATAACCATCTGATTAACTGGAGTTTGGAGCTGGCCAAAGTGTTTAAGGGGAGGTGGAGAAACAGTCCAGAGCAAACAAAGAAAACGAGAAAAGATGGAGTTTGCCTCTTTGTTTTTGGTAATTTACACCCCCAACATCAGTTTCCATCAGAGAAAGAGGAGCCCATTACAGGAATGTGTCACATAAGAAAGCTTCAGCTCTATTTACTGACCTCAGGTTTGGTTATTCAAACCATAACCTGCGTAGAAAAGATGAGAAAGTCGGCCATTTTGATTTGGTCATGTGACTAGCAGCTTTCTGAGGTGGAAACGAAACTTGTGTACTGTCTCTAAATCGGAAGACAAATAATGTCCTAACCCTAACTCTAACCCTGACCCTAACCCTAAGCTTCACCCTGACCCTAACCCTCCACCCGAATCTTGACCCTAATCCTAAACCTAACCCTAAAATTAACCCTGACCCTAAACCTATACGAAATCAGAAGAAAAACGATGTCCTAACCCTGACCCTGACCCTAAACCTAACCCTGACCCTAACCCTAACCCTAACCCTGACCCTGACCCTGACCCTGACCCTAACCCTAACCCTAAACCCAACCCTAACCCTGATTCTAACCCTGACCCTAACCCTAACCCTGACTCTAACCCTGACCCTAACTCTAACCCTGACCCTAACCCTAAACCTGACCCTAACCCTGACCCTAACCCTGACCCTAACCCTAACCCTAACCCTAACCCTAACCCTAACCCTGAACCTGACCCTAACCCTAACCCTAACCCTAACCCTAACCCTAACCCATGCTTAAATATCAGAATCGGTGAGGTCTAATCCCTGGAGAGTTGCGCCGCCCAGATGGGCTTTCTCTGAAACGCTGCTCTCTGATTGGCTACAGCTCACCTGGCGGTCCTTGAGCTTCATGGCCAGCACCAACTGCTTCCTGTGGCTGGCCAGCGCCTCCCGGTAGTTGCTCCTGGAGAAGAAGGCCGAGCCCAGGTTCCCGTGGGCGCGGCACTCGCCGGGCAGGTCGCCTGGGGGGGAAAAAGAAACGTCAAGACTAGGCATGGCAAGATTCACCGATGCGTATCGGAACATCGGAACGACCTGTGCGATACGGTTGCATCGATTTGCAAACGTCTGCATCGGTAAAAACCGCACATAAACTCGAGATGCATCGTATAAAACTACCTGCATCGATACAAACCGATTATTATCTTCTATTATTATAACTTTTTAGAAACGTGTCTTTGAGTTTTAGTTGCGTTTCTTGTAAAGTTTCAGAGAGACAATCACTCTCTAAGTTGCACTTCCTTTGTTTCAAAATAAAAGGCACAGTTAGCTTGCGTGCCATAACTTGAACTATGTAGTCCATGGTGTACTTTTCTTCTGCATTGCATCGCATCGCATCGCATCGTATCGTATCGCACTGTATCGCAGCATTTTAAATTTAGATCGTTCTGTATCGCACCGGATCGCAGGAGGTTGGAGAATCGTATCGAATCTTATCACTAGAAATTCCATGAATCGTGAATGTATCGAATCGTTGGCTGTGTATCGAGATGTGTATCGTATCGCCTTGGTGGTGAAGATTCCCATCCCTAGTCAAGACCATTCAAAGTGCTTCACAGAGCATTTAAAAGCAGCAAAACAAGAAAAGAAAAATGATAAAAACTAGAAAAAGGCTGAGGAACAGCCGTGAGAAAGCCAAGTGCTGAATGGAGGAAGAAGTATTTGTATGGCACATCTCGTGTACAAGACCATTCAAAGTGCTTCACAGAGCATTTAAAAGCAGCAAAACAAGAAAAGAAAAATGATAAGAACTAGAAAAAGGCTGAGGAACAGCCGTGAGAATGCCAAGTGCTGAATGGAGGAAGAGGTATTTGTATGGCACATCTCGTGTACAAGACCATTCAAAGTGCTTCACAGAGCATTTAAAAGCAGCAAAACAAGAAAAGAAAAATGATAAAAACTAGAAAAAGGCTGTTCCTGAGGATGCCAAGTGCTGAATGGAGGAAGAAGTATTTGTATGACACATCTCGTGTACAAGACCATTCAAAGTGCTTCACAGAGCATTTAAAAGCAGCAAAACAAGAAAAGAAAAATAATAAAAACTAGCATATGGAACATCTGTGAGAATGCCAAGTGCTGAATGGAGGAAGAAGGAGAAGACAAAGAAAAGCTGAAAAGACATAGAACTGAAGAGTTGAAGAAGAATGGAGGAAGTAAAAGAGTTGAAGAAAAAAGGCTGGAGGGAGGAATAATTTGAAAGATT